AGCGGGAAGAGTAGGAAGGCCGGGTGAAGGCGGGGGAAAGGTAAGGAAGCGAAACAGAAACGAAGAAGCACTCGGATCTAGAAATGTGGCCCGCTGTGGGGCGAGATCGCCACTCTGAACGACGGGGGCAAAGCGCCGGTCATGAAATGGCAGCGGGAACCACAGTTTCGCAACACCGAAACCCTCCGATGACATTAGAAACATGCTTGCAAAACTCACACACACACACACACACAGACACACACACAACACACACACACACACAACACACACACAACAACAACAACAACAACAACAACAACAACAACAACAACAACAACAACAACAACAGCAAACACAACAAACACAACAACAACAACAATAACAACAACAACAACAGCAACATCAACAACAACACCAGCAACAGCAGCAGCAGCAGCAGCAGCAACAAACAACAACAACAACAACAACAACAACAACAACAACAACAACAACAACAACAACAACAACAATCATTTTACCCGAACGCGTGGTGTTCTCCCCAGTGCCAGGGTTTTCATACGACACCAGGCAATACCCCCACTTCGTGGGGGGGCATTACAAGCTCTACCAAATATCCAAACGACTCTTCGCGACCACCCAAACCCAGCTTCCCGCCCTATGACGTTGGGACACTTCACTTCGTGGCGTGCGGACGACCGTGGCTACTACACTGGCGTGGGGTACACACCCACAGAACCCAATGGTTTTTGGAGATTTCGGCGTGCGCGCGCGAAGAAAAAACGAATGTGTCCCGCATGGTATTATTTGACAGGGATGATGGCCCTGGCAGGTGCGCAACCGTTGTCGCAGAAGTTCGAAAAAGTTGCTCGCAAAAGCCCGTTTGACAGAAATGTTTAAAAAGTGTTGGGTTTCCTACGAATCCGCAAGAGCGCGCGGGATGAGATTTTGACATTTTATTTGTTGAAAAACCATTGGTTTTTTGATGTTTTTATGTTAAAATCGCTCCGAACACTAAGCTTTTGGAAGGATTTCGTCTTGCGCGCGCGAATGTCCACTTTACCTTATTTTTTGCAAGGGATTCTTGAAATTTGATTATATTAGAACAAGAAATGTCATTTTATAGTGTTTTTTGCAAGGGAAAACGGATTACAACAAAACAACCGGATCTTGATCACATCGTTTACCTGAGGCTTCCTCACGAAAATGATGAAAATGTAGCTGCGGCCTAGGCGGCGCAGGGGGGGCGTGCACCAGGGGTCCCAACAATAATTATTCTTTAGAACTAATAATGTTCAACAACAACAACAACAACAACAACAACAACAACAACAACAACAACAACAACAACAACAACAACAACAACAACAACAACAACAAAACGGGGAAGGAAACTTCCAAAACGTAGTCGGGAGAGAGAAGAGTGTTGTATTCGTATCGAGCAGTTGTAGAGGGAACGGCGTTGGAGGAGGAGGAAGAGGAGGAGGAGGAGGAGGAGGGGCAGGAGGAGGGGCAGGAGGAGGGGGAGGACGGGGCGGGGAAACCGTAGGAGGGCGGAGGGTGCTCTGGCACGCGTGGCGCACCCCGCAGGCGCCACGCACATGGTTGGCGTCTGCATTGGTTCCCGGTGATTGTCGCTGACGTTCCGTGCCCATGCTGAGACTCGGGTGATACGTGTGTAGTGATGGAAAAAGTGGGAATAAGCAACACGGCCGCCCGTCAGGATAGCGCAGCTTGACCCCTCACCCTGCCCCCTCCCCCTGGGTCTGGACGGACAGGGGCGGAGGAGTAGAGGAAGGAGGTGGGGAAAAAAAGGGAAGAGGAAGAGGAGGAGGAGGAGGACGACGAGGACGAGGAGGACGAGGAGGACGAGGAGACACAGAGAATCATGTTCCCAGCCGACCGTTTTGGCTTGGGCAAGGGCGGCCGCGGCCAACCTCCAACCAGTACCGCTCCGCTTGCTCCGCAAGGGATCCTGCCTCCAGCCGCCGCCGCGGGATGGCGTGCATTTCCCAACGCCGGTGGACGTCCCCCGAAAGGGTTTCCCGTTCCGCCCTTGGGCACTCTCAACAAGCCGCTGCGGACTTTGGGCACCATCGGACAAGGACACGTTGCACGGGGAGCCCTGAGAACTGGTGGGGGAAACCCTTCACGCCATCCCAATTCTGGAAACGGCGGCCGAGGCCAGCAGCCGTTACCACTCACAATCTTTTTGCCCCCGTTCCAGCCACATCTCGCGCCGCCAACGCCGGTCCCTGCCACCACGCCAACTTCCAGCCGCCAATCCCGCAATCGCACTCCACCCCTGTCTTGCCTCCGCACCACCTCTCACACTTGGCCAACTTCTGCCACCCACCGGCTCACCCGACAGCCCACCCGCCAACGTCGGAGCCTGCGCCGCCCAGTCTGTCCCCCCACCTGTTTTCCTCCTTCACGACAGTTGAGTGGCAGCGTCGTCCCCGCCGGGTCGTCGTCTACCCCTCCTTTCTCCCCAAAGTGGCAGGGGGACCCAGTTACTCCGCCCCCCTGGGGGGGGCCCACCCGTCCTCGCAGTTTCCCTTGAGTTTTGGTCCACAAATCTGGACGAATCGACTAATCAACCCCCCCCCCGTGGCGACCGCCCCTGGAGGGGGATGAACTGGATACCAAACCCAGCGTCAGCAGCCACAGCGTCGGGAAGGGGTCAGGGGTCAAGGGGGAGGAGTCAGACGCTGGATGGTGGCAGTTGGCGCCTTAAGGAATTGAGGTCCGACTTGCGCAAGTACGTTGGCACACCTCCCTACAACCGTCTTCGTTGGCTGGAGCGCCGAAGGGAAAGCATCGGCCCCCTCCATTGGCAACTGACGCCGTCATGTATTGGTGTCTTGGTGGGAGAGGGCGGCCCAAACGGCCCCTATGCTGGCAGCCGCAAGGGGTGCGAGGCCTATGATGGTCCTCACTGGTGAGGGCTGTGATTGTCCTCACTGGGGTGGGGTTGGGGACAAGGGCAGACAGGTCGAAGCGGATGTCCGACGGCAACATCCTGGGGGGATAACTGAAAAAGGCACGCAACAGTAACGCCGGTCCTCCGCCTATGCTCCAGAGAAACCCCGGACCAGTGGCGGAGAGTGAGAAGTCGTTTCATATAAAACCCGACTCCGACCCCCAGCCCAGCCCCGACCCCAAACATCGGCGACCAGACTCATGTCGAGGATAGGCCGGTAAATAGGTGGGAGGGGGCGGGCCAGGCAGGAGGAAGGGGGGAAGAGGGAGAAGGAAGAGGATACGGGGGCGGGAACCGTTTTCGAAGCTGTGTTTCATAATATCTAGGGTCCTGCAAGCGGAGGACACCTCGAGCTTCGGAGTTGCGCCTGCAAGTCCTGACAGGGGCACCTGAAATAGGAAGAATAAGTGGCTGGCGCCTTACTTACACGCCCAGTGCACTGCCTACGTCTTTCAGCGAGCCCCCCGCCGCCGACCGCCAGGAAATCCCGTCACGACAACGTCAAACAGGTTGGGGGCACGGCGTGCACGGGGACAGAGAGGAGAGGCCCCGCCACACACCTGCGCCCCAAGTGGCAGAGGCTGCGGCGACGAATGGGGGGCGAGTAGATTGAGGAGCGACCCCCCGCCCTCAAGCACAGCTTCACACAGCCCTGGGAGGGGGCCGCGTAGGCAGGGGGAACAAGCGAAGACGAGCGGGCAGAGCAGCAGCGAGCGGGGGAGGGGTATGGGGCGTGAGTAAGATTTTCGCGCCGCGACCGCATGAGTGACACCACAGCGGCACATGTGATGCTGTCGCGGCACGGGTCGAACCGTCACCCTGGTGGCTGGAGCGTGGACGAAGCAACCGCATGAGCCAGACCGAATGGCACGGACAGCATTCCAACACCCTGATTCAGCATTTGCGATAGGTGGGGGTGGCCAATATGCCGTAGTGCGCGGGCGAACTGACATTGACAGGCACACTCAGCAGGCAGAGGAATACATCCCACTCACGGTCCTGAGAAAGACGGTGGATGGTGGCAGTTGGCGCCTTAAGGAATTGAGGTCTGAATTGATACCCTTCCCTACAGCCGTCTTCGCTGGCCGGGGGGCCCCGGAGGGCATCGGCCCCCTCCATTGGCAACTGACGCCGTCATGTATTAGTGTCTTGGTGGGAGAGGGCGGCCCAAACGGCCCCTATGCTGGCAGCCGCAAGGGGTGCGAGGCCTATGATGGTCCTCACTGGTGAGGCCTGTGATTGTCCTCACTGGAGTGGGGTTGGGGAAGAGGGCAGACAGGTCGAAGCGGATGTCCGACGGCAACATCCTGGGGGGATACCTGAAAAAGGCACGTAAAAGTAACACCGGTCCTCCGCCTATGCTCCGGAGAAGCCCCAGACCAGAGGCGGAGAGTGAGAGGTCGTTTCATATAAACCCGACTCCGACCCCCAACCCGGCCCCGACCCCGAACATCGGCGACTAGCCTCATATCGAGGCTAGGCCGGTACGTCAAAAAATGAATGGGAGGGGGCGGGCTGGGCAGGAAGAAGGGGGGAAGAGGAAGAAGGAAGAGGAGAACGGGGCGGGGAGCGTTTTCGAAGCTATCGAGGGTCCTGCAAGCGGAGGACACCTCGAGCCTCGGAGTTGCGCATAAAGGTCTTCACAGGGCCAACTGAAATAGGAAGAAAAGTGGCTGGTGCCTTACGCGTCCAGTACATTACTTCTGCGTCCTTTCGCGAGCCCCCCGCCGCCGACCGCCAGGAAACTCCGTCAACGCCGACGGCCGACCCCCACCGCAGACCACGTCAGACAGGTTGGGGGCACGGCGTGGGGCACGGCGTACATGGGGACAGAGAGTAGAGGCCCCGCCACGCACCTGCGCCCCAGAGGCTGCGGCGACGAATGGGGGGCGGGTAGAACGAGGAGGAGGAGGAGGAGGAGGAGCAGGAAGACGATGGGCGAGGAGAAGGGATGGGACGGGGCACCTCGTCGACGACAACCACCACTGTGACGACGCCAAGGGTCGGCGAGGCCGAGCCAGAGGGGAAGGGGGGGCGCATGATCTGGTTCGTCGCGCCGCAGAACGGGCACGGGAACTCCAGCTGCCCATCATCGGAGGCCTGCACCTGCGCACGGGCTCCCCCCCCGCGCCGCGGGGAGGGCCGCCGCCGACGACGTCGCCGCCGCCGCGGCTGTGGCCGAGGTCGCCGTCGCTGGCGCCGTCCCCTCGGATGCGGGCGTCGCAAGAAGAGCAAACGCGACCGCCCGTTTTTTGACGTTTTCGCGCTCTGGAGGCCGCCCTCCTGGCCCCGGGGCCGCCAGAACGCGGCTGGGGTGTGGGAAGCCAGCTCTGGCGTCGAGATTCCAGGAGGCCCACGTCACGCGAAGCATGCGACGTCGGAGGAGAAGGTCCCTGCCCGTGCCCTCATCCTCGTCACCCGTCATCTCTCATCGGCGCCAAGCTTCATGCCCGCGCGCGGCCTCCCCTCGTCCTCCCTCCTCGTCCTCTCCTCCTCCTCCTCCTC